ACTTACATTTGCTTAGTTATTTTTCATTAAAGTTAATACAACAAACAATCCCTTCTCACTTCAGTATTGGTATCCATTTTTCACAGATTTCTTACCAGAGCCTTTTTTCTCTCAGGCATTCAAATAAGCACAAAGCAAAGAGTACTATCATAATTTTCCTGTTACTTCCTCTTGGGAGTGTTAAGTATTTGGGGATCACTTAAAAGAAAACTACCCCCTTTTCACTGGTCTCAGTCAATTCCCAGTCTCTCTGGTCTATTTCCTTGTTTAAAAAGAAAAAAGAAAGCCATCAAATGCATTTTTAAATTTTTTCAGAAAGAAAGTTTGATAAAAGAGCCCAAAACTCTACATATGTCAAACGTTCTGCTTCTTAGAGTATCTAGGCAAATAAAAGTTGAGGTTCAACACACTTGAGTCACCAGTTCTCATCCAGAGCTGTGTAGCATGAAGCTCAGAATTGGTAAGTGTATTGCTATTACTAAACCCTAGGGAGTACAAACTCACACCTCGGTCTTCAGTTTCTAAATCCTGCGCTTGTTCCAACATGTATACCACTTCCCCTCTGGAATAAAGGAACTCAAAAGAGAAGAAATATTGCTCATGATAAAGAAAAGTACCACCAAGCTCCAGATTCTACTTCTGCTGACTATGCATATCTATTGTCCTTGAGGTGGGAGCTGATTGCTACTTCTGAATAATCTAGATAGATTAATGCTACCTGCTGTCTGCTGCCCATCTGGACCCTCCCAGGGGCTGGCTCTCTGTGCTGCCTCATCGGATACCTCCCCTGTTCCAGGGTGCCTGCAAAGGCCAGCTTCCCTTAGCATATTTATCTTCAGCCTCCAGTGCACAAGCAGAGCCCACAGTAGACTAACTCATTTATTTCTACTCACTTATTGATGGCCTTTCATAACCAAGTTATTAAGTCATCAATAACTTCAGAGAAATAAATGAATGGATCCAGAACTGGGCCAAGAGATATTTTAGACACATTCTGAAAATTTTATCTAGGATCAGTAGAAAAGTCAGTGCTAGGCCATCAGTGGTATTTCCCCCACTTGGGAAAACATATCCCACAAATGTTTTATTCTAATTAGAATCAAGTTTATTTCTCTGCAAACTGGTGAAATGAATAACATCTTTAGTCACCCAATTAAAATAAAGTTCGTTTGTTTGTTTAAAAAAAAGATTACGTGTTCATATTTTTCTAAAGTATTACCTAATGTGTGTTTTTCCCATCAGCTGATTAAAATGATCCCTGGAAGTTTTGCCAAAAAAAGAGCATAATCTCTTTCAGGAGTGCTTGGAAGTTCTGATATATCCCCCCTTGGGAAATAAAATAAAAAGGAGAGATGAAGGCAGAGAGGATTTCTAAGACCTCGGGAAACCTTGAAACCAGTATCTGGGAGTCTAAAAAAAATTCCTAACACTGAAGTTCCTATGGAGATACTTCCAAAGCCATTAGCAATCCACCCACCCAAGGAGAACCGTGCACTCTCACTATGGAGGGTATATGTTCTTGCTCTATCAGTCTCCATGAGTATCTCATTATACTGGCCTCATCTCCCCGTTCAGAGATAAAACCCTTTTGCCCTTGTTTGCTCCCCACTCACACCCTGGGCTCCCATCTACTGAATGAAAGGAATCCTTGGCTGCCAAGGGGCCACACTGTGCTTGAAAATCTCTACATGCCCCAGTTGCCTGTTTCCTCATCTGTTAAAAAGATGCAATAATAGATATACTTCATCAAATTGTTATAGGAATCTAAAGCGTTACGTGAAAAGCCTTAGAATGGTGTCTGGCACATGGTAAGCATTCAAGAAGTGTAGCTGCTATTGCTGTTGTCATTAATAAAAATATTGTATTTTTTGTGTGATTAGAACCCAAGACCAGCCAGTCCAGTTTCCTCAATTCAGTTTACAAGAAACTGCAGCCCAGTGAGGTTAGGTAGCCTATTGTAGAATGAAAGCTTTTGTGCTTTAAAAGTCTAAAGGCTGAGTGATATACTTGCAGGAAAAAAAAATCCTCTTTGGAGTTTAGCCACCCTAGACTCAGATTCCAGCTCTGTCCCAGACTTGCTAGTTATATGACTTTGAGCCCCCTTTTTTCCTTCTCTGGGCTTCTGAAGTTCTCGTGTGCAAAACAGTAATGCAACCTACCTTGGTAGATTGTCTTGAGAATTGGAAAAATAATGATTGAAAAAAATTAATGACTGGATAACGGGACTAGCATGCTGCCTAGGAGTTAATGAGCATTCAGTAGCTGGGGATGTCATTATCGGGAGCATCGTTCAGTTGGGCTACTTTCAGAGTGGCTGCCACTGACTACCAGCAGAGCTCACCACGACACTGTTCACTCTTACTGAAAAATAAACAAAAATAGGTATTTGCTGACACTCCTTTTTATCAGTTTTCTTCAATAAAACTCATCAGTAGATATTAGCAGCTACCAAAAATTATTTGGGCCTGTTGGTGGATAAAAATGTATATATCACCGGGTATGATGGCTCATGCTTGTAATTCCAGTACTTTGGGAGGCCAAGGAGGGAGAATTGCTTGAGCCCAGGGGTTTGAGACCAGCCTGGGCAACATAGCGAGACTTTGTCTCTACAAAAAAAGAAAAAAATATCCAGGTGTGGTGGCACATGCCTGTAGGTCCCAGCTGCTCAGGAGGCAGAGGGGGACGGATTGCCTATGCTCAGGAAGCTGAGGCTGCAGTGTGTCTTGATCTTGCCACTGCACTCCAGCCTGGGTGAAAGAGCAAGACTGACCCAAAAACAACAGCAACAACAACAAACAGGTATATATCATTATGATTCTTAAAGAAAATGACAGGGGAGAGGGAAAGAAGAAAGGAAAGTTCCCACTGTTGGTCCAGAGCTTTTTCTACCTAAGCTCACTGGACTGCAGTTCCTTGTTTGTAAACTGAATTGAGGAAATTAGACTGACTGATCCGGGGTTCTAATCATACAAAAAATGCTATATGTTTATTAATAGCAACAACAATATCAGCTATACTTCTTGAACACTCGCAATGTGCCAGACACTATTCTAGGCGCTTTTCACATCATAACTCTTTAGATTCCTAAAGAGGCAGAAAGGGCTTTCACTAGTTTTGTTTAACATGAGCAGTTTTGCTCTGCCAGCTAAATCCCACATGCTTGGGACAATGACTCAGAAATAACTTGCAGAGATTGCAAGATGATGAATTAAACACTTCGTGTAGTAGTGATTTTGCAAATCTAACACCTTTGCTGGAGTAGAGATGGTTAGAGAAAGGTGCAGGGAAGGATGGAAATTGAACCTGACACCCTGGTTTTCTTCCTTGGGGAAATATGAGTAAATACTAACTCTAGACAGCAAGGTGTGGCACTCCGGCCTTATCCACAAACAGACCTGCAGAACTTTCATGTCCATTAGTGGCCCACTGTGGGGACTGGGAATGGAGAATGGGTTCCATAGCCAAGTAACTATGAGAAGCACTTCCCTCTTGAAGATTTACTATGCTCATTTACAAATTAACAACTCTGAGAAGTTCTGCACTTAAGAAACCCATTTAACACTGTCTAATCCATCCTTTCCCGAATGACTGGCACAAAATTTCCATCAATAACACATGAACAGTGGCATACCAAGGGAACACTGTTCGGCAACCTGTATAAGGTTTATAAATGAAAGATCTTAAGACAGCCAGTGAGAAAGGCAATGAGGGGTTTAGATTTTAATTTCATTGTGAATCTCTGCCTCAACTATTTTTAAAAAGGATAAGTAACTTTTAAGTGAACCATATTTTACTTTCATGTGTTATTATATACATATATATGTTATATGTATATATACTGTTATATTATTAAAATGTGTTTTAATTTGTGGGAGATGGAACAATTGGCATCTATGGGTACATATGCTTCAGAGGGTGGAATATTTCCCTGTGTCCAGCTGTTCATTATTAACCACTGATGGAACTGGCTAGAAAAGAGAAAAATAAAATGGAAGCAACTCAACTTAGACTCATCTAAGGGCTGGCCATGGAGCATTCAGTGAATTTCTGTGGTCTTCCAAGGGTCATCATATCCCCTGAAGAATATTCATATTGTTTCTGGATTGCCAACTCCTGATACAATTTGGAGATGGAGACTGTGGACCCAGACATAGCAACAAACTCCACATTAAGATATAATGTTTTTAATGATGGGGATAATTACAACTGATTGGAATTCTCTTAACCCACAAAATGGAATACAGAGAAGTAAAAGTGCTACTAAATATCTTTTTACCACACTGCAAATTTCATCATCACCTGTCTCTAAAGTCTACAGAAATCTTTCACCTTTTTAATCTTTCACATTTTTATCCCCTACTCTCACATAAACACCTATCAAATACTTTCTCTTTTTCCCCTAATTTCTTTTCATCCTTTCTCCCTTTGTGGCTTTTGTGGAGAGAAAAATAAGTGAGACAAGGACGTTCAATTATTACAAATGGATATCAGTAATAGCTATTTCCAAACTCTTTATAACATAAGCAGAAAGATACTCAAAAATCCACCATAGCCTTTGGTACTGATTTATCAAAAAGAAAATGAATAAAAATTAGTATAACTATTATCAGACTGTTATCCCTTTAGCCTTGACCTTTGGATAATCCATAAATAAATGCCATCCAAATTCGACAGAAGTAAACTGCAAAATTCCCACAACAGCAATCTGACAGAAATATCATTTTTATTGATGTCAAAAAGTAGTGTTTCTTTGCTGTTTAATAAAATTGGAATTATTAAGTAAAGTAAATGTTGAAACACACTAGAAGAGTCTGATCCACACAGCAAGATCTATGAGCTAATTTGCTTGGCAACTGCTTCAGCCATTTAGATGAAAATGCCTATACTTAGAAAGGTTTTCTTTTTTAATGTAGTTAAATTTAATTTGGTTTGGCATGTATTTTTACATTAAAATGTGTTTGACTATTTATACAATGTCTTTTTCTATTGTCTCTCTCCAGGAAGCAAAGAACTTGGATAAGAGCAGGACAAAAACGGAGAGTGCCCGGCTCTTCAGAATGTGGTATGGCTTTGACCACAAGTATCCTTTGATAATAATGATTTCACAGATCCTGCTGCAGGCAGAGAATTACTTTGGACACTTAATAATTGAAGCAAGCACTCCTGCTCTTCAAGAAACACTGAAAGGTAAAGTGACTTCACAGCAAAATTTATTAAAAAACGTGATTTCATAAAAATAAAAAGCTGGGTAGTCCATACTTAAGTGTTATAAAGAGCGAAAGTGAAATCTTTCAGAGTCAACTGTATTTGGTGTTTTCGTGACAATCTAATATTTTCTAATGCCAGGTGATAAAATCATATACTTCTGAAGAATAGATCTATTTCACTGTTCCTCCCGTTATAAAACTCTCACTGCTGGTTGAGTTGGCCAAATAGACTTGCCTGATTGAGAGTGTTACATGAAGTCTCAGTAGCCTTTGGCCAGAGTAACCCAAAGCTTTTGCATCCTTTTCTGCCAGGAACCCATCTGTGTGCTTTTGTTTCATCCTATGAAAAATGAAAGAATGGGGGCAAGGGACAAGAATGAATGAGCCAAGGAGAATGAGTCTGCTTTATCAGAGTTCATCATAAAATAGCACTGCTTTGTTTTCTAGGCAGACTTGAGTAAGCTTTCTGCAGTGAAAGGCAATTTAAAAATTCTAGCAATCAGTGTAAACACAGTAGCTCAGATACACCTTGTCATGTGATTTGTAGGGGTGAGAAGTCAGGCCTGAAGTGCTTTGCCATTGTGAGCTGCAGTAAGCAGTCCATCTCTAATCCCAGGCAAAAGCACCAAGGAAGAAAGGAAAAAACTACACTGCAAATTGAATGTGTTGGATCTTTGTAGCCAGTTTTTCACAGTCATAGATCCCTCTCCTTTCAGTGAGAAAATGTTAGTTACTAGATGATTTTAAGGATCTAAGCAATGAATAAAGCCACAATAGATCGGTGGGAGAGGAAGAAGAATTAAGAACAGGAAAAAGAAATTCAAAGAATAGTTGAAGAAAAAGAGGTAAAAATGGAAAAAGGGAAAGAAGGCAAGGAAAATACTGGAAATTTGCCATAGGAAGGAAAGGAAAGCAAATTAGAGGAATGACTGTGGAAAACAGGAAACGAAAATTAAGTAAAAAAGAAGTGAAAAGGCAACTGAAGATTGCAGAGACAAGCAAAAATAAAGCAACATGAGAACTAGAAAGCAATTTTGCAAAAGTAGAGCATTCCAAGAATTATTAAACAGTGATGTGGAAGGTAGAAGTTTTTGAGGTTTGAGTTTTGTTTTCCCCCAGCTCTGTTACCCATGGTTAGATATCCTGCCTTCCTCAACCTTCAGTTTTATGGTATTGTGGTTCCTACCACCTTACAAACAGACCATCCTGGCCATTCGCTACCTCTTGGAGGTTCAGAGATTTCACTAACTACCTGAAGTCTTCTGGTCTCTCTAAGGGAAGCAGTTCTTAGGTTATTGCTGGTTTATGCTCCTAGTTGAAGTCTCTTCTGCAAACAGAATTTGCCCCTGCTGTAGCTTGTAAGTATCAGATAACCTGGTAAGCACAAAGTTATGCAAATTTGACTAAAGAATTCATGCGATGAGACGTGCAGCAAGAAAATAGTAAATTGGAAGTGAGATAAAAGAAATGTGTGTTCAAATTCTGACAGTCTTGTAAGGAAGGCTTTGCAATGAAAAGGAGTGAAGTGGAAAAATAACTTGGAGACAAGAAAATGAAAAGTTGGATCCCACCCAAATTTTTAGCTTAGAGCAGTGACACTAAATTCAGATGATGTCATAGTTTTTGTCTCACTTTTCATCAGGAGTTTATTTCCATATGATTATAGACAGACTGGCAAAAATAAAAGCAGATTTACACTCCCAGTCATATCTCTTCTCATGGTAATTTGTCCTCCTGCACATTCATTCTAGAAATTGCAGCGCTGCCATCACCACACAAATATATTTTCACTCAGGCAACGAAGTTTTTGTATCTTTGTTATGCTCTGAATTTATACCTAGAGAGTAGCAAGCCAACCAGTTTCAACTTTGGGACCTCTTTAGATACATGGATTTTTAGAGACAAATTATCCACTTGGCAATTGTGATCATTCTGCTGTCCACTTAAAACCCAGGTAATGTCTCATGAACCTCATAAGTTAGGCCATACCAGTCCCACCAGTGTAGGGATGATATTCTTACCCTGACATCAGATTGCCTGGCCTGTACCAAAAGAAAATTGTCTCAAGGCTGAAAGAAATTGATTATGCAGTTCATGCAGTCGAAGATGTTCAAGTTTCATTTCAGCAAAATTGCATCATGCAAATGAGACATCAAAAAGAATTATTGACAAGAGAAAAAGAAGAATAAATAGCCTTCATACACACCTGTATCAGTCAGAGTTCGCCGAAGAAACAGAAACAGAACAGTACTTTACATGCACTTATACATTTATTTCAAGGAATTGGCTCATACAATTATGGGGGCTGGCACATCCAAAATTTGTCGGGCAGGCTCTCAGACGAGATCCAATGCTAAAGTCTTTAGGCAGGATTTCTTGTCCCTCAGAAAAGTCTCTGTTTTTTTCTAAAGGCTATTCAACGGTTTAGAAGAGGCCCACCCACATTATTGAAGACAATCACCTTTACTCAACTAATTGCAGATGTTAGCCACATCTACAAAATTCCTTTAGCAGTAACACCTACATTAGGGTTTAAATGATTAAATGGGAGGTCTAGCCAGGTTGACCCATAAAACTAACCATCATAGCATCCAATTTACATTTAGTTTATGTACTATATTCAGACCCAAGGATAGAAAACCCCTCTTTATTTATCAATGCTATCAAGAAGACAAACCACTGTCATACACGCTTTGTTTTGTTTTACTTTTTACATGCATGCACTTTCCTATATGTAATTTTCCCAAAAACTACAGAATAAAAATCATTAAAATTAGCATTCAGTGAGGATGAATAATGCCAAGAAGTGTGTTGAGGGCTTTACATGTATGATTTCATTCCACTTCCAAGCTCTGCAGGGTCTGAAGAGGGTAACACAACACAAATGGACTACTGATTGGTTCTGCCTCCACTGCAAGAACCTGGGCTCCCCTGCTGGAGAACGTTGTTGGAAGTCTCTGGTGCCAAAATTGATAATTAATTAAGGTTTCATTATGACTCAACGTGGGCAGCAATTCTGAATCATGCAGTATAAGTAAGAAATTGAGAAGTAGAGGGATGAGAAAGAGAAATAATATCACTGAATACAGATGCTTTGACATCAGACATGTTATTTCACTTCATCTTTATAACCACTCCTTTTGTTTTGCTTAATTCTTAAAAATACCCTCTTTGAAGTGGAGGAAACCAAGTCCCAGGTAACTTAAATAACTTTCTGAAGGCTCCATGGCTAGTAAGTGTCAACTCCATGGTTCAAGCCCAGATTCGTCTCCTTCAAAGTCCTTATGTATACTTAAGTGAACTTTACCATTAACAATTCCGTCTCCATGGTATCTCTTACTCTACCTGTAAGCCCTCATACCTTGATGCGTTCATAAAGTCACCATTAAAGCAACGAATATTTATGACTTCTTACATGATGTAGCACAGAGCTCACATCTCAAACATCGGTTGACAATATATGGAAGGATGAGGTTAAGGGTCTTTGTTGGTCACACAAAGAGCACCACCATGAAGCAGTCCCCAGGTTTCTGAATCAGACCCTCAACTTTTTATTTTTATTTATTTTTTTATTTATTTTTTTGAGTTGGAGTCTCACTCTGTCACCCAGACTGGAGTGCAATGGCCGCTCCCGGCCACCACAGCCTCAACTGCTGGGCTCCGGCGATCCTTCCGCCTCAGCCTTCCAAGTAGCTGGAATTACAGGCATGCACTACCACGCCCAGCTGATTTTTTTGATTTATTCTAGAGATGAGGTCTCGCTACCAAGGCGGGTCTTGAACCAGTGGGCTCAGGCAATCCACTCACCTCAGCCTCCCAAAGGCGCGGGATTACAGGCTGAGCCACCGAGCCCGGCTAGACCCTCAACTTTTTAGAAGCAGAAAGTAAAATATGCCAAAGATCCCAAGAGTGGTTCAGTCTCATAAGAGTTGGATTCACTCTAGCCAAGCTTAAAGAGGCAGAAGGTATAAGCCAGACACCAAATTCCTAAATTACAATATCCTTTCCTAGCCATGAGAAGGCTCAAGTCACAGTTTGGTCCCTGAGTCCCTCCTGTCTTACTCTTGCCTCCTGGCTCACTCTGTTCCAGCCTCCCTGGCCTTCCTCAGACATACCAAACACATTTTTGCATCCGGGCCCTCATACTGGCTCTTCCCTGAGACATTCATGCCTCCCTCCTTCATGTCTTTCATTCAATTTGTCAGTGAGAACTTTCCGGCTCCATACTAAATTAGCAGTCCCAACAGGAGCACTCCCTCACTCCTTCCCTGCTTTATTTTTTTCACCATAACACCATCTGACACGATATATACTTTATTTGTTTTAATAGTCTCCTCCAACCAGGATATGTGCTTTCTGGGGACAGAAATTGCATCTGTTTTTGTTCACTTATATGTCCTCAGGGCATAGAACAGTGCCTGGCAGGGAGTGGACACTCAATAAATATTTGTTAAAGGAATGACTGAATCGATCAAGCAAGCAAGCAATATTTTCTTTCCAGGGCACCTTCAGTGCAGACATTGATGCAGCAGGAAAATCCAATTAATTATCTGAAAGTTGCTAAGTGGGTCTGAAAGCAGAGCAAAGCAGAGTGGATAATGTTAGTGTTTTTATCCAGGCTACCCTGCATAGTCACCCGTTGCCCACTGCCCCCGGTCAGAGTGTCTCACATGCTAGACAGGAACAGCCACTCACAGCAGACCGGGATTCCCATTGCTTTAGCTGACCTCCTTCCTAGGACTGGTCCATTCCTCCTTAGATTTTATGCATACAGCTGATCTGGTACATTCAAGCCTGACTTTGACTTAGAAGCCATTCTCTGTTTGAGTGACTTTGAATACATATATCTTATCTCACCAATCATGTGGATTCT